ATATATATATATATATATTCATTTTTATGATGAGAGCACATTTTAGCCAAAGGAGAGAAATGACCAAAAAAAAAAAAATGATAATCCCGGCAAAACTTATTTCCGTGCAATAATTCATGTCATCTGAAAATTGATAATTGGATTTGTTTTCCCCTCAGGGCTTCCGTATAAAGGTCAGCTTGTGCCTGTTGTGAAATCAGACATAGGCTACGGGTGGAGCAGGAAGTGAAATATATCACTTTTTATAACCTTTTTCGTGCTGAATGCATTAATTAAGAGTAAACTCTTTAACTTAAAGACCTATCATGCTATATTTGAATAATATATTGTAGGGCCATACCTATATAAAACATGTCTGCGAAGTTTTTTTTTCAAAATACCAAACAGATCATGTATTTTAGCCATGCCTCATTTCGCTCTATTTGCTCTTTTTTAGCCCTGTTTTTGCAAGGGCTGAATCTGTGAGAAGTCTTCTTCACTGCTTTTGTGGCAGACTGCAGCGCCACCTACAGGCCTGGCATATGTACTACAGCGTCTCCAGCGCTTTTGAACGGCAATGGCCGTGGCTGTCTCCTCCTGATAGGTGGAGAGTTGCCCATATAGGCGGAGCTCCCCGTTTCTGACGTCAGAACAATTTCATATCTGGATCAGTCTGTATCAGATCCGTTGCAGCCCTGTTTTCAGAGATTTGGGTATGGAGGAAAAGAGAGAGGGTTGTGTTTTCTGACACTTGGTGAGTTCCCTGACACACCGGGGACACATATTCATGTATGAAAGACGTACAAAGGTGCATTTAGCATAGGTCCCCTTTAAATATCTTCATACAGACCATGATGTGGTGTGTTTCCTGCAGATCTTAATCACTTCCAGACAGCAGCTTATTTTTAAAATGAAGCTCCGTTGCTCCTACGTCAGCCTCATTTATTATATTTAGAGGCAGACTGTCGCAGAGTCTTCCTGCGATGGATGAGACTGGTATTAGCAGGCAGTTGTTCCTCCTACAGTACATTCATTTTTCATCAGGCAGACAGACTCAATCAGCGTTGAAAATCCCGCATTTTCCGTTGTCTGCTTCTCCCTTCCCCAGAAAAACAGCATGTCAGCCAGGCGCGTCGCCTGGCCATCCAGGGCTTTAGCCCCGAATGTTTTTTCTTTCGCCCCGGACAATTCTCCCTCAATAATATAATACATTAACCGTGCTTTACCTGAACCTCATCATGACACTAGAGAGGACGGTAGGATGTAATTTCCCGTGTTCAGTGAATGCAACAGAGGCAAGACACCAGACCAATCATCAGAGAGTTGCATGGAAATAAACGTGTCTTATTGGCTGACAGGTACCTATCCTGTGACAATGTTTAAACTGTAGTGATGGGAATTATGGCTCTTTGAAGGGAGCCGGATCTTATGGCTCCGTTCCTTTCAAAGAGCCGTTGAAAAGAGCCGTTTTACTAGGTTTATCTGCGAAATAATCACCAGGATAATGATTGACTGTATTGCCAGACCTAATGTCAATAATCTGCATTGTAAACATGACACAAGGTGGCGCCATATCCATGTCAGTGAATGTACTTTGAATTTACCCTCTGTATGTGTTAAGTAGATAAAGTTGCCTTGCCTTGAATGAAATTCACGCAACGCTTAATATTAGATAGCCTACTGTGTTTGTGGCGATGGAGATTATTTGTTGACCCTGCTTTAAAGGATATGTTGCCTTTACAAATGGTGCGCTTTATCACTGCCTGGGTTTTGGTTGAAGTGCATCCAAATGCTGCTGCGTTTTCGCCTTTGGCTCATTTTCCATCCGCAAAACACGTTGTCTACCTGTCCTGTACCACTTGTTATGACTTCTCTCTCTCTCTCTCGTATTCCGTTAAGACCCACCCCACCTCACTCCCGGTGCTGAAACCTACCAATCAGAGTAGGGGCGGGTCTTCACAGAATACGTTTGGGGAACAAAATCAAGCTTTTTAAAAGGCGAGTGAATTTTGGCAGGCAGTGAGTGCCAACAATTGAACGATAACAAGAACGGCTCTCACCAAGTACGACTCGGTTCCCCTCGTTCGTACCAAAGAGCCGTTCAAAAGAACCGGCTCGTTCACGACCGACACATCACTACTAAACTGTCAGTCGGACTCTGAGTTTTTGAAGATGGACATAAGAACATTTTTTCTTAAAAAATACGACAATTCTCAAGTGGTGGCTCACACAACAACCCCAGAGCCACCACTCGAGCCATACAAGGTATGTAAATGTCAGTACACTTTCAAGTTACGGCCCGTCCACACTACAGCTTCGACAGCTTCAAAAACGGTTTCCAACGCGTCTGCCCATTCACTTTGAATGGGGTGACGTCACGTTGCCTCGCTTTTCGCCGAACTGAATTGTGGGTAGCATAGCGGTCCGTCTCCGGCGTCAGAAGTTGAACAATGTTCAACTTCTGACGCCGGAGACGCCGGAGTAGCCAGCGCCAGCCAATCAAATCCCGTTTCTGAAAATCTGACAGCTCAAGCCGTAGCCAATCAAACCGCGTCTAAGCTGGGAGAGATATCCCGCCGTTCATTTCTATGTTTCAAAAAAAGATGGAGGAGAAACTAATTATCGCCGTAGCAAATCACCCGGTTTTGTATGAGCAGACCCTCTTCACCTACCGGGATACAAACCGGAGGAACCAGGCATGGAGGGAGGTGGCAGAGACAGTGGGTGAAACTGGTAGGTTTTCGCCTGTTTGGAGAGTTTATATATATATATATATATATATATATATATTGCTCCCATAAAATCCCCGGTTTTTTTTTGGTTTGTATGTCGGGGGCGTGAGATTCATGTGATTGGTTGTTGGTCGCGTTGCTCGAATAAAATCCCCAAGCTTCAGACACGCCCAGCTCCAAGCTTTTTTTGAAGCTGTAGTGTGGACGCTCCGTTATGCGAACATGTAAGCAAAGCATAAATTACAGCTACGTTGTTGACGTTACTTTGAATAGCGGGGGTAAGCTAAACCGTTAGCAAGTAGCTATAGCTAGCCAGAGATATTCAATTAACACTTTGTCATACAATATAAATGATATGTTTTTTAGCGTTACCTGGTGATTTCAAAGAAAGCTCTCTGGAAAATGTTGACTTACTGTCAGTGTTCGACATGAAGCTAGAAGCTACCTTACATTACACAGTCACAGGGGAGTGATTTGTAAAATATCCATAAAGAAAAAGAAAATCTGTTTATAGTTCTGTTTCATATGGGTGTTGAAAGATGTATCCATATCTCTTAATTTTGCTCTCAAAGTGCACCAGGTTGATGCTTTTAACTTCAATATTTAAAAAAAAAAAATCTTCCCCGGGGAGCATGCCCCTGGACCCCTCTAGAGGAGGTGAGGACCCCCCTATAAGAGGTGAGGACCCCCCTAGAGGAGGTTAGGTCCGCCCCCCACTAAAAAATAGCACTTTACCCCAGCTTACACCTACCTATATGCCGTGAGCTGATTATCGAGCCTCCATTGTAACAGTCGCAGGTGTACTGTGGGTGTGGGGAGTGTTGCAGTAGAAAATTCCACTGTAGCGCCCAGTACCATGTACCTTAATGAACTGTGGGCTAAGCCCCGAATGTTTCCAGGTCCAGGAAACGAAGCTTCATCATTTCATTGGTATTGTGGAGATGGTCCCGCTGCAGAACATCTTGGCTACGCTTACATGATCATTTAAGATGCAAAATTACAGGTTTGATGGCCTTTACGCCCCTCTGCCACTGTTCTTATTGTGTCGCCCTCCTCGCTGCCCGACGTTCACGGCTGACAGTATAATTACTGCGGTGGGGGAAGAGATAAAAAGGGATGTTGCTTGCTCATTCTCCCACATACTGAACATCCAGCTGCACCACACGGGCCACTTAGAGAGAAACCTGGACAGAAGAGAGGCACATTTTGACAGGATTCGTGATATGTAGCCCTTTCTATCATGAGTTTGCTCTGAGGTGGTTTTTTTAAGACTTTCTTGCCAATGTTGGACTGATATTCAGCAGTTTCTTATGGTGGTAGGTACAGGTGCAAACGGCCCAAAACACTTATTTTAGGTGAAAAGCGGTACAGTTTCAAACATGCTGCGAATAAATAACAGCTGACCCACTTCATAATTCCCAAATGTCAACATGGCTCCGGTCCCAGCTGTTTGCATCCCTTTGTGTCCCCGTTTCCGTTGTGTTTCGATGTACTTTTTTTTTAACTGAAGGCATGTTTCGTTAAGTTGGTGAAGATGTTTCAGAATTTGTGTTTTTGAAAATGTAAGTGTTTTGGGCCGTTGTAACAGTTTGCACTTGTCAGCCGTCTTAATATCTTAAACTCTGGACTATTATTTGATGCCAAAACTTGCCATGGATTCAAGAGAAATGACACAAATTCACAAAATGTAACACTACGGTATGTAACATTAATATTATTTTCCAAAGGGTTTTTCTATATGATGGATCGTTCCTTAAAGCCATGGCTTGTAATTTTTTTGAAACACATTTTTGTTGCCAAGAGTTAGACGAAAAAGATTGATCTTCCCATCTCCCTCTCAGCAAGAAAGCAATTAAATGTGTTTCCTAAAATGTCAAATGCTTTCCTTAACACTGAGGCTTATGTAAGTGTCATAGGCAAAACAGAAGCTTAGTGTTTACCTCCTTCTTCACTTCAGATTTCTCTACTCTTATCTGATCCTTGCCCAGAAGTCTGTAACACTATTGACTCTAGCTAACAGTGTCTTATAGTATTTTTAAAGCTGATTTTATTGGAGGTCTTTTGCTGGATTTGCTTTATACACTTCTCTCAAACTTGGCTTAAAGTATTAGATTTGTATGTGAAATATACCCAAAAGGCACCACATGAAGTTCAACATGTATTGATATTTTTTGTTTTATGAATGTATAATGCTTTAACTCCAGGTATAAGCTTTTAGCAAAACAGAAACTCATATGTTAATAAAGTGTTTGAGTCGAGCAGTCGGACATATTGGAGGAAGACAAGGAGTTTCAGAAGGAGGCTCATCATTTTTATTCAAGTGTGATATGGCTTCACTCGGGCTGTGTTACCCAGTGAGTCATCCACACCAAATCATGCACACACACGCACCAAAAGAAAAGAAAATACAGAAAAAGGAGAACATACAAATGTTATGTAAAATGTTCATGTCACTCTCAACAATCTCTTCTCCACGTGGTGAAAAGAGACGAGTCCCACACCGGAGTGTACTGTACAGACATCAGTTTCAAAAGTGTGACAGAAGACGTCGTTTGGTTGGACGAGGATGCCAACGAAATGGGATATAAAAATCTCCTGTAAGGAATATGGTACATGGTATTATTTGTTCATCAGACCTACAGAAGAACCTATTGCAAATGATATTTCACAAAGAGAAGTTATGGAACATAGCCTTTCTATTTTATTGTATAACACAGATAGTAGTGCAATTTGTGTCTCTTTGTCCCTGTCGGAAAACATGGCACTGTTGACAGAGAAATGGCCCGCACATACTGCCACATGCAGTAGAAGAAGCAGCCATGTACGAAATGCAGATGCAATTCACCTTCGCGGTCGTTCTGATGCCACGTGGCAGGGAAACACTAAGATAGTTGGCGAGGGATGTGGCGTGTGGCTGTATCTCTGTGCCATCTGTGTTATAGAATAACATTCAGTCGAGGACCATCAATATGACATGTGGCATGATGGCACACACATCTGAGTAATATGCGAGCGTGTGGGAGGGGTATGACAAACAATCTGACTTGCAGCTCATGAAAAGCAAATGAGTTTGTTTGCTGCTTCCTCTCGGAACCAAATGATCTATTATGGCTGATACATTCCCCAAAATGTTGCTTGGAAAAGTGAAGTAAAATGGAAGGTAGACGACACGGATCAGTGATGTTGTTATAGGTAGATGTTTGTTTAACCCTATCAGTATTGGAAAAGACTCGAGGATAATTCCAACTTGGGTTTTCTTTTTGCTCTCCAGGCCATCATTCTCAATGGTTTTAATAACATTGCATTCACTAAAGTAGTAGCTGAGACCATGGAACAAGGCGACAACAACAACACAACCACAACAACAAGGTCTAGGAAGAAAATGAGCAGTCAAACCATGAAAAAAGAGTTGTGTAGGGAGTAGATCAAACGGATTACTTAAAAACAAATTATGGAGATACAAATAAAGCCACTGCGGAGTAAGCCACTAGCTAATTAACACCACAAATCAAATATCGAGTAAGAATTCAGGTGTATTTCGTTTCAGGAGACCAAAACAGAGCAGAAAGGAAGTTGGAAAATGAGCTTACATTCATCTGGTCTCCAGATACATGAGTCTTAATGGAATATAAATATAAACTTTATTATATGTCAATGCATGGGTTCAGCTTGTTCTGCCGCCCCCAAGTGGCCAAAAATAATAATAATGCAGATTTAAAAACAGGTAGACGCAGGGGTGTCAAACTCAAGGCCCGGGGGCCAAATCCGGCCCGCGACTTCACTTCATGTGGCCCCACAGGAGCTTGCAAAAATTATAATATGTTTATTACGGTTACATGTCGCTTTACAGAATCACATTGCCCATAAACTACATGTCCCACAATGCATCTCAAATTAGACTTTTTTCCCCGAAATTTCACTTTTTTTTTTCCTCCAGAATTCGGCTTTTCTTTTTAAATCATTTTGTGACATGCAATTGTTTGCCCTAGACTTCTGCTTTCAGACGTAGTTAATTATGAAGTTATTACCCTATCCGATAATAAACCAATGCAGAGGCAATAATGTTATATCATATTTTATATATATTACACATTTATATATTTATTCTTATATAGTCTTATATAAAACTTGCCATGATGCTAATGTGGCCCGAGTTGAAATTGAGTTTGACACCCCTGAGGTAGAGAGTTGAAGAAACTTCCTAAAACAGTTGCATCCTGTAGTGTCATCACCACAAACTACTCAAACAGGAGATTACAAGTGTATTTGTTGAGGATTTTTGAAGACAGATGGATCAATACACATTGTACAGAAGCGACTACAACAAGGGGGAAAAACACTACCGGTGATCCATTTTTTAAGTCTGATCAAAAATGTTTAGAACAGGTGGGGGAAACCAAGCTATGCCAGGAAACTCATTCTAATTTCATTTTGAAATCTGAAACAGGTGGGGAGAGAAAACTATTTATTTCAGAAAATTGATTACCAGATTTATTTTTCTCTCTTGAGCCATTCAGAGCTTCCAGATTCTATGTGAAAAATAACCTCATGATAAACTACAGTGCACGTGTTCACCTACATAATTGATTCATGTATTTTATTAGTTCTGGACAATCATCAAGCTTTGCCTAAAAGTCCAAACTTGTAGCAAGATCAAATAACTGTCCGTTTTTGGACTTTTACTGTGATTTTTTGGGAGTATATCAAAAGCATTACCTTTAATTAAACCAGTCTAATCATCCACCTGCTTATGTGTATTGTTCCATATGAATGCATTTTAAGCAATTGTGTGGCATTCCTCAATCTCAGCAATTACCTTGGTGACTACACTATTATTTAAACTGATTGAACTATGACCAGAAGTTGGAAGGAAGACCCAAGTTGCTATGATTAGAAGTATTTCTTAAACTGTTATAGGATTGTTATGTATTTTAAAATTAAGGTAGTAATTCAGTCTGTTTTGGCGCTGGTTGTGTTTGTGGTTATAGACGATGGCGGTTTAAGATGTATAGTGGACTTGAGTTAGGTTATTGAGTCATGGGTTGGGGTTAGGGGTTAGGGTTAATCTATTGTCATGAGATCTGTCTATAAATTAACCGTGTCTGCGCTCCAGACTTCTCAAAATCGGCTCGCTAAAGCACAGACAGACCAACCATACTTAATGTGCCCTGTACTCCAACAGAAACACTGACTGCTGTTTCTTCAAGGCACGTATGCTAATGTGTAAAAATACATATGCATCTCAGCCATGAAAAGGCCTTTTTATTCCAAAGGTTGCTATAAACATATTGTACAGGATACTTAGATAAGACCGTATAGTTCCAAGAATGAAACAATGCTTTCAGGGCTTATCTCGCGGACTCCATGCCTGGTTATGTCCGTCACGACTGAATGGGATCCATGGCATTTTACCATTTTCCCAAACAGAGTGGCATTCACCTTGCGAGGCATGCTCAGCTACCCAGGAAATGAACAGAAGCTAAACACAAGGCTGCAAAGAATACTGATACTGAAAGTCATGGTGCAGAAATTTGGTTTTCCAGTGATTTTGAAGGGTAGAAATTGCAAAAAGGGAATTAAATAGCTTCCAACCCTGCATGAATAACTTAAAAAAAGCTGCTCCAGTCTTTACAAACAAGTGATATATACATTACATCTTAAAAGGCCTTTAGAAATAATGAATCCGTAGGAGCTCAGTGACGATGTTCTCTTTGACAGCTGGCATTATATTTGACAGAAAGGAGCATTGGGCTTTAAAACAGGCCTGATATCAATACAGTATAAATATCCAGGATTGCCGTAATATTTTCAAACCCTGTCAGAAATGAAGCCCATAATGCAAACGGACTCCTGGTGAATCTGCATCAGACGGGCCTCAGTGAGATGATGCATCTCATTTCTCAGAAAAACCAGGACTCGATATGTACAGCGTTATTATTCGGCCGATGCGCTTGCTCTTCAGTCATTGTGTTACAAGAGCAAACCCAAATGAAGGTGATTCATTCAAACCTGAGAACAAATATTAGTGTAAGACAGTTTGAATGACCAATTAATTAAGGTGTATCCCTTTAAGAACTGCTGGCAAAATAAACAGCTTGTATTGTAAATCATTCATAAGACTAATTGCCGCTAAAATACTTTTAAAAGTGATTATGAAGTTATTTCCCGCATTCATCATACAAAGTTCATGCACAGATCTTTCACAAACAAATTGTCCCTTTCCCGTTCTGATAATTTACAGAAAATAAAAGGATCATACTGAAGTTATTAAGCTTTCCTTTGATGCTCAGATGTCCGCTCACATTAACTCACTGCTGGTTGATGTGTTTATCAAGGCTGTGTTTCCCTAATGGCTCCAAAGTGCAACCAAACCTCAAGAGTTGTCAGTTTAGATCTGCATGCTTCTCTGTCCCTGTGAGCAGTTCTGAACCCAGATCTCCGTTAGATCTGAGACGGGTTAATCAGCAGATCCAGGGTCAGCTGCTACAGCCATGCATTGCATACTCTGCAGGACTTTAGGGAATAATCATGCATGTGGTTTTGATTAAAACTGCTTATAAATTCAGCCGGAGTCGTTTCATTGCACTTTGGTAGCTGAAGGTTAAATGAAAAATCCACCTTGTGATCCTTTTACACTTCACTTCATTAATTTGAGCCACTTGATCATTTTCCAAGAACCTGTAAATTCACTTTCCTCAACCTGACTCATCGGTTTTAAATACATCTCCCTTAATGCTTCTCAAAAGGAAGAACTTTTGCACCCAAACCAAGGTGGGTGTGGAGCGACCTGACCACCTGCTATGTTCAGAGCGTTCACATTAAGTTTTTACTTTTCCAATTTGAGCTTACAGTTGTATAGTGTGTGTAGCTCTTTAAACATTCAAACATATATCAAAGCTTAGGCATGTGACTTGAAATGGAAGCCGAAAAGCACATGTGATGTGTAGGATTTGCAAAAAAAGTGAGTTAAGATGCCATGGAGTTGCATCATGGGAATTGTAGGATCCAGTGTTTCAGAGCTTGAACTGGGCACCTGTCATCATTATTAAGCATATTATTGGCCAATGGTGAAATAATTTAATGGATACACAGTGTGTAGAAATGTATGTCCTGCTGCTGTATTTACGCCACATTTAAAAATGATTTTGAGTTTGGAGCAGCTCCAATGTTCGAACCAAACTCTACCCATCAAATTAAGACTTTTTACTTCATGTATTGGTTATCTTGGCATCAGTTTTATCAGGTTATTGCAAATAAATCAAAGCTGAATCCATTTTGTTTTTGGTTCATGCCACTCCGATGCATACATCTTGACCATAAGTTTTTTTTTAAATCTATATAGACTGCTCAACGTGAATTTGAACAAATCTCAATGCTTAGTAGAACTGATATCGAGTATGAATGTCAATGGAAAGAAATAGAGAACCAATACAGACTCCAAAAAAAGGCAAATTAGTTTAAGAGTGTTGCATGGTCTTACAGTCTCATTATACAAAAGGCCTAAGGTGAAATTAAACCTCTTGAGGCGAGATCTGTCTCTAGATAAGGGTGAAATATTAATAACAGCAGCATGATCCTTTGAATCCAAGACAATCAGACACACACGGCTGTTCTATAAATAGACTAAAGAATGTCACAAAACCATGGTACACTCGGTAAATGACATCTAATGCACATGCTATATTGGCAACGATATTTTGGCCTGATGTGTGGCGAAACCATTGGAGTATATGATTGCTTATAGAAAACAATACCTGATGCTTTGAGTCATTTTAAAATCTCTGTCTGCAGTGAGGCAATGGAATAGTAATTCTTCAAGTTAAGGTGAAACAAGCATACTCCCTTTTTGAAAAATAGCATTTCCCCAAGTGTGCATCATTTGGCATGTAACCAAAGTTAATATAACGATTCTGTTGTGTAAATGTTAAATAAGGACGTCATCTTGTAGTGTCTGTAAATGGAGCAGGCTCTTGAAAAAATAGACATCCATGCTTCATGCTGTTCCTCCGCAGTGTGTCTGTTCTGCACAGTGTTCTTCATCTGTTCCCAACAATACTTTTTATATTACACACAAACCAAAGAAGGAAACAAGTGCTGAAATAAGATTTGGTAAGGAGCAGCATTGGAAATGTTTGACCTTGTGTATAAAACAACTAGTTTGTCCTGTGTGTGTTACACTGAGAAAACTGAAACACTGGCTTTAATCAAATGTATTATGTCAACAGATTTCACACAACATTAATTAAAAGCTATAATATTAAGTTTAAATAACAAATATTACTTCATATTATTGCTTTCAGCTAACCTAATACAGTAATGTATTTAACATGTTCATTCCAATACTCAACCTTTTACTGTGATATCTTGTTTCAATAGTTACTTTATTTTTGTTGTATTATTATTTAAATTTGTATTCTTTATTTGACCCTGTGTGAATCCTGTTTTTCATTCTGAAACTGTTGCTGCTATAAACGCCTGAATTACCCCAAGGGGATAAATAAAGTTCCATCTCATCTTACCTTATCTTAACTTAATGTGAATGTGTTGACATTGAATTAAAGCCAACGGTTCAGTGTCCTCAGTGTAGGCCTTTAAACAGATTTCCTTCTCCTCATCAGCTGGTGATTGTCTGTGAAGTTGTGGAGGCCCGGAGACACCGAGCTGACGGGCGACGGGTAGAAGCTGTTCTTCAAGGTGCTGGGCGAGATCTCCTCGATCTTGTATGAAACGGAGTGAAAGTACTGATTGGGATTCAGCTGCGAGCTGAACGAGTTCTGATGGGAGAAGGCACAGCCCAGGCCTCCCATCCCCCCCCCAGAGCTGCCGAAGTCATGCGAGTGGTAGTGCATACAGGAGCACACCGACTGCAGATCAGTCACTTCCTGTCGGTACGCTTCCCTCCGCCGCCGGCCCCTCGGCAGCGTCTCGTCCTGGATGTGGATGATCATGCTGTTCCTGTTTCCCGCCAGCGAGGCTCTTTCCTCCGCGTCCCGTCTCTCGTCCTCGCTGTTCATCGTCAGGAAGCGAAGAACCACCAGGTTGAGGAACGCCCCGATGACCGTGAGGCCCACCAGGATATACATGAAGCTAAAGGCCACGTACATGGGCTTCTTCTGGAGAGCCCGGTTCTTTTGAAGGGCCACAAAGTCCCCAAAGCCAATAGTTGTTAATGTGATGAAGCAGTAATAATAAGACTGGAAGAAGCTCCAGTCCTCGTAGTGGGAGAAGGCGACGGCTCCGACGCACAGCGTGCCGACGCAGGAGAAGAACCCCACGGTCACCATGTTCTCCATGGACACGTCTGTGATGCTCATCCCGCAGCACTTCTTGATGCGTTTCAGGAGGTACTTGACAAAAGTGTTCATCCTCTCGCCCAGACTTTGGAACATTACAAGAGTCAAAGGGATTCCTAGGACGGCGTAAAACATGCAGAAGGCCTTCCCAGCATCGGTCCCCGGAGCGGCGTGCCCATAGCCTGAGAAGAGAAGAAACACAAGTTAGTGATGTGGAGAAGAGTCGGCCAAAGTGCTGGTGAAGGGACCGAGGTCACTCAAAAAGCCGCAGCTCTCAGGAACCTCCCAACATCGATCAATGGGTAGCTAGAATTAAAAACATTCACATTATGGAACACATCATTTTCCATAATGTGAATTAATGTGGAGCATGCCCCCGGACCCCCCTAGAGGAGGTGAGTTCCACCACCCGCCCACACCCCCTGTCAAATTGTCCCACATTGAGGATGCTTCCTATGCCCATGTACATACCTAACACAAAGAGGTGATAACCTGTCTTTCACTTGATGTTTTTCAGTATGAGTAAACAAGGATTGATGCAATTGTACTTCGTGATGGCCTCCTCGTGAACCCTTAGTTATAGCCGTGTTTCTTATTTTTATTTAATTTTGAATTGTCTTTGCTGTTGTATGTATTTGTGTTATCTGTTCCCTTGTGCTATATGTTACTTTGATGTATTGTATGCAAAATCCACCATTGTCCCGATGTATTCTTGTATCTGATGTACTTGCTGCAATACGGTCTGTGTTTTTTTTCCACTGTAAAACCTGAAAGTAGCTTTTGTTTACAAACATGACCAAGCAAGAAATCTCCCTGAGAGACGGCGAGCGCTGCCAAAAGGAGTATTGAATAGGTGCTCGCTCAGAAATGTGTGCGCTCATTAATCTTATTTGGGCTCAGAGATTATGGCGGGTGGGGCGTCCAATTAGTCAGAAGTTTCCGGTGAGTCTGGAGGAGGGATTGGAAAGGAGCCATGGGGGAAGCCAATGAAGCTTTTAGCTTAATTAAACTTATCTTTAGACCACATACTGCTGACTCACACACCGACAGAAATCTACCTGCGGGGGCTAACAATAGGACTCATGCACTTTATTGCATCTATTTTTGCAGTGCTATATAAATGACTCGGTGTGTTTAGCAGGACATTACGGTATGAATGGAGCTCTTGAATATGCAGGGCTGAAGAAAGCGTGTCATATTGATTATTATTCCTCTACATCAGCATTTAACTGTGAGTAGCAAACACCAAAATCACGGCCAACTAACACCCACCATCTGCTGGCATGTGCTTCGACCACTGCCTTCCAAACAGAGACCGAATATGTTGGGTGTACTGTGTGGCATTTTGTATTTATCTATTTATTTTAGATATGTCCTGAGCAGGCTCTGTGTTTTGCACTGAACTATTGATTCTGTGTATTCCCATATGGCTCTCAACCCACTCCAGCATGTTCAGATATGCATTTGTTTTCCTTCAAATGCCTAGGCTTCAGAAATCTTATTTGCACAAGTAGACAGTCGACCTTTCATGTAAAATGTGTCTCATCAGCCTGAGGATTTATCAGTGGATCCAAAACAAACATACTGTAATACATATTCAATATGAAGGTTTATTTCTGAATATTTAAACTGACTTCAATCTCTTTAATATTGATTCAGTTTGATCCTAAATTGTCAAGGTTTAAAATGTATGTAAATCTGCACCATTTAAACATTTGTTGAAGGAGTGAAATGCGTTTGTACTTCTTATGAACCAGCGGCAAGAAGACTGTTAATTACGTAGAAAGTAACTTCACACAATATTAATAATCAAGTCTAATAATTCAAGGTGATGATTCTTCCCAACATGTGCAGCCATAACGTTGTGCTGCACTATGATACCTTGCATCACAGCACCCATTTCAAAACCCTTTAACTCGCCATTATCGGGCGTTTTCATTATTACTGCACCAAATAAATGATGGTAGATAAAAAATGTTGGTCAACTTTGTAAATTGAATCGAAACCACTTGGTTAGGCTTAAGAAAACGACATGTTTCTACTAGTACTATTGTTGTACGGCAGTGTGTCAGTCAGTAGGGGCTTAGACTGTGAGCCGTAGGGTCGCCGGTTCAAGTCCCTGACCAGACCTAAATATCAAATCTATTCAAGTTTTATTTATAAAGCACATTTTTAAACGATTTTTGATCGAGCCAAAGTGCTGTACATATAATAAAAATACTAGGGCCGGGACTCGATTAAAAAAATTAATCTAATTAATTAGAGGCTTTGTAATTAATTAATCGAAATTAATCGCATTTTTAATCACATATACATATTTGACCTGAGAACAGTGAGAAGCCTTCCGAGTAAATTGCCAGAACGCCGACACCTCCTCATCTCCACCGCTCCCATGTTTTATTTTGTGTTGCCATAAGTTAGTCTCTCTGCGTTTCTGCGCTGGGCTAATGCTAATAATGCTAATGCGAGGATAATAAAATGGCGGCTTCACAAAACTTTTTTGGGAGTTTTACGGGGCGTGGTTTGTAATCCGCCCAGCCAATCAGAAATATAGCTCTTTTCTCACAAGAGAGCCGTACGAAAGTCCCTGCTCTCTAGCAGGGACTTTCGTGGGGGTAAAAAGGTTCTCATGAACTAATTTTAGTACCGGCTCTTTTTGGTGTGAACGCGATAAAAGAGGCTAACGTCCACGCTAGCTGCTATATGTTTTTGCATTGAGGTGATACTTGAGGCTTGATGTGCTGCGGTGATATGCGAATTCCTTTTTGCATAATTTGCACACAACCGTGCTCTTATCGACGCTTCCATCCGTCCGTTTTTTAAAACAACATTTCCCACTGTTGTTCACTGTGGTTTGTTGTTGTCTGAAGTCATGAACGTTAGTTGGTGCTCCAGTATAATCGGTACGCCTGAAACTCATCCAGTGAGAAACGTTCCGCGGTGCAAAAATAAGTGCGATTAAAATGCGTTAATTTTTTTAACGCGTTAATTTTTGTGTAATTAATTAATCTTAATTAACGCGTTAAAGTCCCGGCCCTAAAAAATACCCTACAGTAAAGACACTTTACAGCAAATACAACAGCACAGTTTGTGCAGAATATCAGTATGAGAAAAAAGTATGGAGTGTGGACTGCTACTTGGAGAGGTCCCAGTTCACCTCCTGCCCTGCCGTGGTGCCCTTGAGGCACCGGACAACCCCCTTCCCCCCTCACTCGCATTGCTCCCCGGGCGCTGTACACTAGCTGCACACTGCTCCTAGTACTAGACTCATGGTACTAGGATGGGTTAAAAGCAGAGAACACATGTCACTGTGTGCTCTGCATGTGGGACCATTAAAGAGGGTTTCATCCCTCCCCATTCTATTCTATTGTTTATATCATAATTCATGTGAGTATGTTGCCTACGTGCATTTAGGTACAACAACGTTTACATAAAGGACTTCAATTGAAATAAGACAACAGTGCCTTTGGTTTAACATGATTAATATATAGTGGTCTCCTGGTTGAATACGAGCATTGGGTGCAGCAATAATGATGCTTAAGTGTTAGAGATTAGTCTTGACCTAAGGTTAAGTCATTTAGCACAATTATCTTAACTTAAGGGCAACTAGAAATCAATTGGTTTACATGACCACGTATTCCTGGGTATTGAGTTCCATTGAGGAACTAAATCTGCTGATGAAGACCATGATATATGGTTGAAAGCACATTTAAAAACAACAGAGTGGAACAAAGTGCTGTACATCAACAACCGTATAAAAACATAGCATACATAAAAAACAGACATGAAACAAATGTGAAACACGAGACGATGAAACCAGATCAGAAGCCAGACTGAGAAACTCTCCTACATGACGTAAGAACAATACAAAACACTAGTTAGATAAAAACCCACATTTAACAGCACAAGTGTCACCTGGTCGCTAAATGCAAGGGAAAATAAGTGGGTTTTTAAACGAGATTTAAAAACAGGCAGAGTTGGAGCAAGTCTAACCTGGAGGGGCAAGTCTAACCTGGAGGGGCAAGTCTAACCTGGAGGGGCAAGTCTAACCTGGAGGGGCAAGTCTAACCTGGAGGGGCAAGTCTAACCTGGAGGGGCAAGTCTAACCTGGAGGAGCAAGTCTAACCTGGAGGAGCAAGTCTAACCGGGAGGAGCAAGTCTAACCTGGAGGGGCAATTCTAACCTGGAGGAGCAATTCTAACCTGGAGGAGCAAGTCTAACCTGGAGGGGCAATTATAACCTGGAGGGCAAGTCTAACCTGGAGGGGCAAGTCTAACCTGGAGGGGCAAGTCTAACCTGGAGGAGCATGTCTAACCTGGAGGGGCAAGTCTAACCTGAGGAGCAAGTCTAACTGGAGGGGCAAGTCTAACCTGGAGGGGCAAGTCTAACCTGGAGGAGCAAGTCTAACCTGAGGGGCAAGTCTAACCTGGAGGGGCAATTCTAACCTGGAGGGGCAATTCTAACCTGGAGGGGCATGTCTAACCTGGAGGGGCAAGTCTAACCTGGAGGAGCAAGTCTAACCTGGAGGGGCAAGTCTAACCTGGAGGGGCAAGTCTAACCTGGAGGGGCATGTCTAACCTGGAGGGGCAAGTCTAACCTGGAGGAGCAAGTCTAACCTGGAGGGGCAAGTCTAACCTGGAGGGGCAAGTCTAACCTGGAGGGGCAAGTCTAACCTGGAGGGCAAGTCTAAACCGGAGGGGCAGTCTAACCTGGAGGAGCAAGTCTAACCTGGAGGGGCAAGTCTAACCTGGAGGGGCAAGTCTAACCTGGAGGGGCAAGTCTAACCTGGAGGAGCAAGTCTAACCTGGAGGAGCAAGTCTAACCTGGAGGGGCAAGTCTAACCTGGAGGGGCAAGTCTAACCTGGAGGGGCAAGTCTAACCTGGAGGAGCAAGTCTAACCTGGAGGAGCAAGTCTAACCTGGAGGGGCAAGTCTAACCTGGAGGGGCAATTCGTTCCATAATTTTGGAGCTGCAACACTAAAGGCTCTGTCTCCTCGCTTAACATTTAAATGCAGTACAACATTCAGAAACACTGGTGCGGTCTTGGAAAATGAGATCTGTGCAGAAAGCAGAAGGATCAGCTGCAGGTCAGAACACCGTGTGCTGACTACAGATCAGCTGAAAGAATGTGTTGGACAATAAGAAAGTATTAATTCCACAGTCTTCTTTAAACACTACTGTA